GCCCCAGGGGGGAAAATGGCAAATAAAATACAAACTGTATCTCAATGCACGTACTTAAGTGGACTTAATTAAGGTTGCACAAGCAATATTAATTTGGTAATTCTGAATTTTCAATCTGCAAGTTATTTTTAATATAAAAGTAGACATAGTTCGGTAGCACTGGAAAAAGAAATGCTATGTTTTAGATGCTATTATTTAAACCTGTTTCACGGTCATGAGCTTTATCTTGAATATTAATCGAGGTCTGACAAAAACAGACCTGGATCCAAAATTAAGACACTTAAGAATGAGGACAGCCACATTTCACTGGAGATGAGTAGCAGAGAGGGCACATACAAATGTGAAATACCAGAGAAATACAGGCATGCCAAAGCTGCATCAAAGGGATGTTGACTGATACTAAAAGAAAGACATTGAACATTGATGAACAGTCCAAACTCCCTTTCCCTTTTACTTTGATGGACTAATATATAACAGGGTAATGTTACAACTGAATTCAGTAGGATTCAAAAGTAGATTTCATGTTTCTGAGGTGATTAATGCAGTAATAGTTTTATTTATTAGTTAGTATATTTTATTAAACAGTTATTCTACTGATTATGAAGGGTTCAAGACTTTAGGCTGTGAGTCAGTCAGTTATTGAAGGAAATTATTCTATATGTATTGTATAAAACTTCATAGTTTTTAATTAATGTTTTATTTTGTTTCTTTTCTTGAAGAAACGGGATTTAGTACTCTGAATTTTTTGTTTTGATACAGGCTACTAGTTTTAGATAGTAGTGATTTTGTCCTCTGCTGTGATATTTGTAAGACAACGTGTCCTTATAATGAGGACTTGAAATTTAATCTTTTGTCGTGGTGGAATCAAGTATCTGTAGAATTAGTACTTTGAATATTTTTGAAATTGATTTATGCTTTTTCACCACTGTTTTTAAGATGAAAAGCAAAAGTCGTTCTGATTTATCAGAACTCAAAGTAGGACAAAGCACTATTGAAGATATAATGTCAAGAGCTTATGACAGTTTTGATATCCAGCTCAGCAGTATACAGTTACTGTACAGCAAACATGGTAAGTAATCTTTCTCTATATGAGTAAAAATATTTTGGTGGTTGATATGCCTTTTATATTTTTAACTGAAGAATCTTTGGAACATGCTTGTTCAAATTCGCGTTCTAAACTCAGTCCTACAAATGTTGCAGATTTCCAAAATGTACCCTTAGGCCTTAGAGTCCAACCTTAGCTTTTGCTACATAAACAAACTTAGAGTAAATCCCTTATTTTTGAAGATGTCTGATTTGATTTGTTGCATAATAAATATGAGTGTAATTTGTTAATGGTATTTTCCTTCAATGCCTTTTCCTTTCTTCCCTCCAAGTTTAAAGACAAATCCACAAGTAGTTGTAGGTTTGATCATTTTGTGAGAGTAAAGAAAGGATCAGAATCCCTTATTGAAGGAAACTTGCACTACTAGTTTGGGAACTGACAATGTAGAAAGAGTCAGAACCAGAGAAGTCTTAAGCGTTTAATTCTTAACTGTTTGGTTCCAAAGGGGAATCCAGAGCCTAAACTCCCACTACCATGAATGTTAATATTGGGCCCTTAGAAATCTGCAGCATGGGTGGAGTAGCTGTTCAGATGTGAATGGTACAAATTACTAAGTAGTTCTGTATGTCTGAAGTTTGGATCTTGTATAATATACATATGTTGATAGAGCTGTAAACAAGATTGTGTACCTGAATTTTTAGCAATATTTAATTCTCTGATATGTGTAATAAGAAGGCATCTCTTTCAATGTTTAAAGCATAGGTTTTCTTTGCTCTTCTAGATGAGAACTGGCAAGAGGCTCGGAAGCTGAAATGTTCGTCTCAACATATCTTGCAGCCCTTGGATGTAAAAGTGGAATTTAGCAGGGCTATGGTTGTTACAGATGCAAGAATGCCCAAGTATGTGTGTTTTCGTATTTTGAAATTTTATGGTAAATGACTTTTCTTTTTTTTTTCCTTTAAAAAAAAAAAAAATCGAGGATCTAATTATGCTTACGCTATGTTACATCAGCCATATGTGAATCTTAGAAGTAAAATACCTTAATCGAGAAAAATAGAGAATAAAGCCAAGAAGTTGCCAAATACTGAAAAGAGGATAGAATGTTATATTGTTATGAAATAAGCACATATAATATATTTAATGGTTTTTATTAATGATATTAATACCTGTTCTAATTGGTCTTTCTAATAGCTACATGTAATTTCTTATTGGAGAGAACTCTGAAAAGTCTGTCTTATAAACAAAAATATTCTGAAAAGTAACATGTTGTTATACTCCCTCTTTGATTTAGGTTATACATCTCGTTTACATACTAGAGATCACTTCTCAGGGAAACAGCTTTTAATGTGTTGAGTTGGCACTTAGGCCTATTTAGCAAAAAACCTATTGACTGTGAAAATTGTACTCAATCAGAAGAAAATGTATGTTACTCTTAATGATGAAACTTTGATGTTAAAGATCACTGAGTCAAAGTAGCAAAGATTAACTTTGCGTGTATTTTGGAAAGTGCATCTTCACTCATGTCTGATAAGGACAGTACTACCTCAAAAAAATCCAGTCAGTTTTGAAGTACTTGCAAACTAGCAAATTAATGCATTATGAGGTAATTTGCTTTATTAAGTCATTAATAGGAATCATATTCTTATGCTGCAATAAGCTATCATATGCTTATTTTGTTCTTAACACTGTTGAAAATTTAGTTTTTTAGCTGGGTACTTCAGAAAATTAATAGTGTAAAAATAGGCCTAGGCTGTTGCAGAAAATTGTGTAGTACATTCAGCAAAATCAAGAGGCAGTTCATGAAATAAAATAATTATGAAGAATCCAGGATTTGCTTAGTCAGAAGAAAACCCAGCCAAAATAATGTACCTTACCGGTTCTGTGTATTGTGAAGGCAGGTCAATGATTGCACTGTATAATGGTGCCACCTTCTGGAAAGCTGGAAGTCCAGGTTCTGAATTTTGATACTTTACAGAACATACTGTTTCCCTCCTTACTTTTTCTCTGTTTGATGGAGAAGTTGAGATACGGGAAATACAATTCACAGGAATCTTGTCTTTTTATGTCAGAAAGTCCAGCGAGGGAAAATGAGATTTCATTTCTATGGTCATACAACAGAGTGTCATTTTAATGTAGGTTTGTAGTTGACATCTTTCCAAGTTATGTTAATGTAACCTGGATTAATGAGTGCCTGCCCTTAATGAGAACACTTGTTGCAGTATTGTAGTACTAGCTGTCTGACTGTCTTGGCTACCAGGTGTGCTTCTCCTTTTGGCGGTTTATGTGTCTAGGCAGATTCAGGAAATTTTTTCCCTAATGGATATTATTTCTGTATTCTGAAGTCTTATACAGTCACTTACTTGACAGTAAATAACTGTGCCTAGAAACTGGCAAATTTTTCTTCCACTGAGAGGAATACTTCTTGGAGATTAGCTGCTGCTACTTTCTGAGTCCTTTCACTCTCTACAGCTGTTAGAAATGCCATGGACAGCAGTTTGGTACTAGATAAACATATACCACAGTGAGTTACTAATCATAACTAATACTTTAACCTGCACCAAGTAACCATTTCAAATCTAACATGTTGATACAATGACTCAACAACAGCTGAACTTGTTCATTTTGTACCTGGTTCAGTCTCTAAATGCTTCCAGGATGTATTCTGCAGATGGTACTATAGTACTCTGGAGTCATCTGCCAGTCTTGAAATGACTTGTACAGCAGCTTTTTACCTGATAGAGATTTGACCTTTTTTTAAGTGCTTGGTGCTCTTCCTTCTTGCTTTGAGCTCTCTAAAAGTCTGAAGTCTGAAAGTCATGAAATTCTGTGCAGTATATATCCAGTTAGGATTGTGCGATAAACTTTTACAATTGGTTATTTATTTCCTAAATCAGTTAAACCTACAAATGTTCTGTTTTCTGTAGGTCTCTAGTTTTGACTACTCAAACCCATCAATACTATCAGTATCAACGTAGCTTCAAATGCCAAATCTCTTAACACTGCATAATCTTTTGGTTTTAAGAATGGTCAGTTAATGAGCATGTATGTACAAATATTTAGGCACCTGTGATCTCTACATGGTCATGCACAAATGATAAAAATTAACAGGTAGCTTTTGTGTCAGCAAAAATCCCCTAAACTGTAAATTCAGTAATTATAGTTCAATAGGGTATTATGCAGTATTGGTCACATGAGTTACAACTATATGAATGTATTTTTAGTACTAGCTATTCCTTTATATTCCAATTTTTATAAATATACTTGCATATAAAGACAATGTTATATTTTTTCTGAGCTGTTTTAATTAACATTTGGAACTGTGCTGTAGTACAGCATAGTTCTGTTGAGAACGGTGAGTGGAAAAATGTTTCTTCTGCAGCAAAAACTAGTACCAAAATTGCTTGTTGACACTAGTAGAATTTTATGACTCCGTCCCTTAGTTTGGACGGCATCTATTTTACTTTAAGTTGTCTAAAAAGCAGGTAATTTGATGTCTGCATTTTTTGTATTCTTTGATGTTTGTACTTACTTGGCTGACCATTGACATCCTTGTGATTTTTGTCATTAACAATGATGAATTCACCAGGACTTTGTGCTGGCTTTGTTTAGGAAGGCACATTTCTATATTTCTGCCTTAAAGAGAATACTAATTTAAGTAATTTTCATTTGTTGAATACCACTGTATCAAGAGCCTTTCACTGTTGACTTGTATTTTCGTCTGCTCATGTTTCCTAACCCTTAAAATGGGCTTTTACTCTGGTTGGATCTGAATATCTGCATTTCTTTCATTTCTGAGAATAGGATGCAGTGCTCCTTATCATTTCTGTCCCTTCACGTTTGGAAACACTAATATGATTCTGTAGTTTTCTAGCCTGTGTAAGGGTTTTTTTTGATGTTTGTTTTATCCTGTGATATGGTTCTCCCGTTTTCTGAAGGAGGTGTCTGTGAGTCTGTCGTCTGGTTTTTGAAGGTGTATGAAGCCAGTATTAGGATACCAATATTAAGAACATCCTTACACATAATAGTATTCATTTAAAAAAAAAAAATACAGTTTGAAGGAATGTACTTATTTGCAGCTTTGAGAATGGCATCTTTAACATTTCCTTCTCTCTAAATATAACCTCTCTGAACTTGGAAGAAGTTTCTCTACAGATTTCCTCATAAACTGAAGTACTTAGCTCTTCGATGCCTCAGTCTCTACAAAATGGAAATAATGGTATTCCACTTCCAGATGTTTTCTGAACCTTAAAAGCTTTTGTTAAGAGCGGTGTGGTGAGCCTGGGATTATTTGCAGTCTATCTGCCTTGTATCTGCTAAGTTCCTTCTGTGTAACTGCATGGGCTGTCCATTGTACGAACATTTATCAAAAACATCTTAACGCTATACGTAAATTTTTGTAGAGAGGTTTAAGTGTAATGCAAGTGAGAATTGCTAAGTGTCCTAGATTACTAGAGCACTCAAGCAGTAGATGGACAGGTCCTTTCAGATCTGGCAGCTACACATGTACCCTGCCCCTCTCCATTAAAATAAAATTTAAAAAAAAAAGTCTAAATTTCTCTTTGACAGAACTAGAATTAAGAATAAAAGTCAAAAGTAGTTGAGAATTAGTTCCTTAAGAATTTAAGAATGTGGAGAAGTTCATAATTGTAGAAAACTAGGTACAAAGTTTAACATGTACAACTTTGTAATTGGCTTGTAATTGGCTTGCTCAGGTATGAGATGTTTTTCCAGTTACTGTTGTGATCTTAATGTTAGCTGGGGGTGATTGAAAATTTGGGGGGTTTTGTCCTCACATCTTCTCAAATGTATGATATTTGATGTTCCTTTGAAGGCTGAGCTGTGAGTTAAGCACAGCAAAACTGGGAGGAAATACCCAGGTCCTGTTCCTTGAACTGCACATGTTATGCATCTGCTGCTGCCCATTGTTGGAAACAGTTAGCTTATTGAACAAACCTCTTTATCTGTTGTAACTAGATGTTGTAATAAAAGCATAATAATGTTCTTGGAACCAGTTTTCTGCTTACATCTTTTCTGCTCACTTTTGTGAGAAACTGGGATGGGGTTTAGGTCTTTAAAAAGTCAATGTCTATGTTTGAAGCGATTGTACTTCTTTTTGGCCAAAGCGTATTCAAACAGGCTTAAAATGCATTTTACTGCTTTCATTTTTTAAGATTGTTATTTTAGTCTTTTTTTTTTTTTTTTTTTGTCCTTTATAGCTGTGTCATTTATTCCTTTGTTAGGTACCTAGACTACTGCCAGAGTCATCTTAAATATACATAACTTCTAGGAAGTATTTTGTATACTTTGCTTGAAGTTTTGGTTTGTAAACATTCTTACGTGAACAAAGCTGCCACCTGTAAAAAGCCACCACCTTTTTATTCTGTAAAATACTGTCTAAGTGCTCAGTTATGTTATTTATTACAAGTAATAAATTGTTCCCTCTTGTTTGTATACTTAATTTAATGACTGAGGAAAATACGCTTCATGTAGCCAAATCAGAAGTGGTTATTAGTATTATTTGCAGTCCTGATCCACAAGACACTGTATCAAATGGAAATATAAATTATGCTAATAACATGGTATTTGCTGGTTAAATAACTCTTCTGTGTGCAACAGAAGTTACACACACACACACACACACACACACACACGCATATGTTACACACAATGCTTAGGTAAGTGATTTTCTGACCAGGAGGACTTGTATGTTTTTTTGGGAGAAAATTAATGTAAAGTTTGAATGAAACAGTTTTAACATAACTTTGTTTACAACACAGGTTCAAACTGTCTGGACAGCTGCCTTTACTTTCTATCCAAATATCAGACCAAAAGCTGACAAGTATCTTGGAGCTAATTGATAGCATTCCTAAGCCAGAAAGTGCTCCTGCTACCAGTTCTCCTCCAAAAATAACTGAGGTAAGGTTTTAAAAAAATATTTCATTAATAATTGTCAGAAAAATACCTTCTTGCTATGAGCATTGCAGTTTTGAAAGGAGCACAAGAAAATGGAGAACAAGCATTTACTTAGTGTATCTTGAAAAAACTTGGCTAATTCTCTAAAGCTGTAGAAATTTTCCTTGTTAGTTAATTGTGATCTTTAGCCAATAATTATGAAATAGTTGTCCAGTGGTTGAATTTAAAGTAAAAAAAACGCAAACTTTTACTGCTCTGGGAATTACTTCGTAGTTAATAGTAGTCTTGATTAACATATGTACACACTTTTGTTGAGGATTAGTTTAACTGTACCTTCAAATTTTACACACCTATCAGAGTGCTGTGGAGTTTGGGTTCAGCTATTTTGTTTAGTGAATAAAAGGTTGAAACCTTGGAATTGTTGAAGTATTATGTGGATCTTGGAAAGGAGTTTACCTGTCAAATACAAACCAAAAAATATCTGTGGCTAGTGTTGGCTAAAGAGTTACTGCCAGGCAAAAGTGACAGCTTCATTTCAGCTGACTACTGCTCTTCCCAGCTTTTCTTTATTCAGTTATACAACGTGCTGAGAGGGCGGCAGTTCTGCCTTGCATTTCCAAGGTATAGGAGTCTGGAGTGCATTCCCACCCTACTTTCCCACCCCTTTTCCTTAGAGAAAATGGTTCAGGTCACTGTTTCATACCTTCTTTGGGACAGAGGATTGCCACCTGCTTGTTAGTATTCCTGAAAATTGTTTTACCTTTTGATATGAGCTGTTTTTAACAAAACTAGGAAGTAAACTCCAAATTGGTAATTCTTAACATCACTCTAGTTTATGTAATCTGGCTATGTTTTGTCATCTTTAAAGCCATCCTGTAATTTGAACATATGTGAAATCTCAAGGTCAAAGATGAAATTGGGCTATCCGTTTTTCTGTCATTTGTAAATACTTTTAATTATCTGTTATTTAATCTTTTGTGTACTTGAATAATGGAATAATGGTCATCTTTGTGGGTTTTTTTAAATTGCTTTATAGTTATCTTTCCATCTTTATACAGATTATTCTGCCCTTTCCTGAAGACTGTGGCTGCAGTTTTGGTGGTGTTTTCTGTGGGTTATGTTAGCATAATGTTCAATAACTGTAAATTCACATGACTAGACATGCATACCTATTGAAAGTATGTAGAATGAAGATTGTTTCCCTTCAACATGTAGGTCCTGTTGTCTCTTTAGTCATGATGTTAAAATACTAGCTAGTTCTGGCCTGCTCTTTCACTCTTCATATGCTAATAGTATCCCCAGCTAAAAGCTGCCCTAGTCTTTGTTTTGTGCAGCTAACCAGAGGCAAACTTTCTTCAAGGGTAAGTGATGGGATTTTAGTATTAAATAAACAAAATGTGCACATATAAGATGATTATCCTGTACTTTGTAACATTGCCTATACTTGAATTTAATTATAGAATTCAACTATTACATTTAAAATATTTTAAGTTACTTTGGTGTGCTTACTATTACCTGTACATTACTTGTGACTTACAAGATGAGGTGAGGAAAGACTGTTAGGCCAGTGTAAATGTATTTGCTTCATATGCAGCATCCATATTAAAATCTATGGTTAAACCTGCTTCCGTCTACTGCAGAGCTTGACAGACTCTAATTGCTGGTATTCGGTTCATTTGAGTGGATTTGCTGCTTTGGTGGTGGCAGATACTCCCATGCTTTCGTCCTTGTAGCTGAAATTGAACTTTGTTGCCATCACATCACTTCTGAACCAAAAATGATGTGAAATTCTTTTTCAGAGTTCCACCTGTGAACTTTGTTCTTTACATTTTGAGTTAGTAGAGGAATTGTTCTTGGGCTGCAAAAACAGAAGACTCTTCAGAACAGATCCTTCTAGGTTTTGCACCCTGCATTTTCTCGTACTTCAGTACAAGAAGGCTGTCCACTTTAGTGTGAGAGGCTTTGTTTCTCATGATTTGTCACTGTGAAGTCAAGTCTCTCAATTTTTTCTCCTTGTCGTCTTAGAATTTGAAAGTGTTACATATAAGACACTTTCACAGTTGTAAGACCCTTAGAGACTTGTTGTATCTGTCACTCGTAGACCTGGATATATTCAGTGAGGTCAAATTGTGTAGGCTGGAAACTGAGAAGAGAGACTGTTGAAATGTGAAGAATAAGATGAAAAAATGGAGCCTTGGAGACAATGTTCAAAGGTGACTGTTCCTTTGTTGCCTTGATGCATAGATTTGTGAAAGATACTGTGAGTTATTGAATAATTGTCTGAGACTGGTCTTTGAAAGTAACACTAACAAGGGGAAAAAAAATCGATCTACTGTCATCTGTGCAGTCCAGAGCCAAAGACACTCAAGAAGAACGGGCATACAGACAACCCACTTGTAGTCTGTGCAAGGCACATGTATACTAAATATGCACATGGAACATGCAGATGAGAACTCTTTACAAACTGAAACCGCCAAGACTCCTTCTTAAGGCTTGGTGGGAAATCTGGCTTCGGTGAATAAACCATTTGGTTACCTTCACTAAGAGAATTTAATTCTGTCATAAATCATACCACATGGAATGAGGATTCTTGTTGTTTTGTCCACTCTAGTGGTAAAACAGTGACATTTCATACATTTTGAGTTGCTTTTCTGGGTTGTACATAACTGCATCTCACAATTAAAGAATCTACTAGCATCTGTATCTCCAGATATATGAAGAAATGAGATTCAACAAGGCCAAGTGCTGGGTCCTGCAATTGTGTCACAACAACTCCATGCAATGCTACAGGCTTGGGGAAGAGTGGCTGGAAAGCTGCCTGGTGGAAAAGGACTTGGGGTTGCTAGTCAACAGGTGGCCCAGGTGGCCAAAAAGACCAACAGCATCCTGGCCTGTATCAGAAATAGTGTGGCCAGCAGGAGTAGGGAAGTGATCATGCCCTTATTTGGGCACTGGTGAGGCTGTACCTCAAATACTGTGTTCAGCTTTGGGCCCCTCACTACAAGAAAGACGTTGAGGTGCTGGAGCGTGTCCAGAGAAGAGGAACAAATCTGGTGGAGGGTCTAGAGCACAAGTCTTATGAGGAGCATCTGAGGGGACTGGAGTTGTTTAGCCTGGAGAAAAGGAGGCTGAGGGGCAACCTTACAGCTCTCTGCAACTATCTGAAAAGAGGTTGTAGCCAGGTGGGGATCGGTCTCTTCTCCGAAGTAACAAGTGATAGGATGAGAGGAAACAGGCTCAAGTTGCACCAGGGGAGGTTTAGACTGGATAGCAGGAAAAAACTTCTTCACCAAAAGGGTTATCAAGTATTGGAAGAGGCTGCCCAGGGAAGTGGTTGAGTCACCATCCCTGGAGGTATTTGAAAATGGTGTAGACATAGCTCTTAGGGACATGGTTTAATGGTGGACCTGGCAGTACTAGGTTAATGGTTGGACTTGATGATCTTAAGGGTCTTTTTCAACCTAAATGATTCTGTGATTCTATGAAATTTATGAACAATTGTGCCTGCTTTACTGTTTTCTGTAGCTCTTTTTTTTTTTTTCTTTTTTTCCCCACCTGCCACTAGTATCATGTGATTTCTTTTTTTTTTCATAAAGAGTAATTGATCTCTTACTGTTCTCTGAAGTTGCCATACAGAATCACAGAATGTTAGGGGTTGGAAGGGACCTCGAAAGATCATCTAGTCCGACCCCCCTGCTACAGCAGGACCACCTAGAGCAGATCACACAAGAATGCGTCCAGGTGGTTTTTGAATGTCTCCAGAGAAGGAGACTCCACAACCTCTCTGGGCAACCTGTTCCAGTGCTCTGTCACCCTCACAGGGAAAAAGTTTTTCCTTGTGTTTACGTGGAACCTCCTCTGCTCCAGCTTGCACCCGTTGCCCCTTGTCCTGTCATTGGCCACCACCGAGAAGAGGCCGGCTCCTCCATCCTCCTGACACTCACCCTTTATGTATTTATAAACATTAATGAGGTCACCCCTCAGTCTCCACTTCTCCAAGCTAAAGAGACCCAGCTCCCTCAGCCTTTCATCAGAAGGGAGATGTTCCACCCCCTTCATCATCTTTGGGGCTCTATGCTGGACTCTTTCAAGCAGCTCCCTGTCCTTCTTGAACTGAGGGGCCCAGAACTAGACACAGTATTCCAGATGTGGTCTCACCAGGGCAGGGCAGAGCGGGAGGAGAACCTCTCCTGACCTACTGACCATGCCCCTTCTAAAACACCCCGTGCAAAGCAGGCATTCAGTAACTCTGCCTTCATTGTATCCTCTGTCACCAGGGCACCCACCTCATTCAACAGTGGGCCTACATTGCCTCTAGTGTTAGTTCTGTCTGCAGTGTATTTGAAGAAGCCCTTTCTGTTGCCCGTGACCTCCCTTGCAAGGCTTAACTCCAAGAAGGCCTTAGCTTTCCTAGTTGCCTCCGTACATCCTTTGACAACAGTCTTATAGTCCTCCCAGGTGTCTATCCCCTACTTCCAAGATCTGTAGACTCTCTTCTTCCAGTTCAGTTTGCCCATTAGTTCCCTGTTTAACCATGCGGGTCCCCTGGCTCCCCTTCTTGATTTCCTACCCACTGGGATGCTCTGATCTTGAGCTTGGAAAAAATGGTCCTTGAATATAAACCAACTATCTTGGGCCCCTTTATCTTCTAGTACCTTATCCCATGGCATTTCCCCTAGCAATTGCTTGAAAAGGCCAAAGTTGGCCCTGCTGAAGTCCAAGGTTGTGATCCTGCTTGGTATGCTGTTCCTACCGCACAAGATCCTGAACTTCACCATCTCATGATCACTGCAGCCAAGGC